CGCAGCGGCTCCACGTTCTGGGCGGAGAGGTCGACGTCCAGCCGCCCTTCGAAGCGCAACCTCGCCCCCTCCCCGCCCCGTCCCCCGGGTGGGTGAGGATGGGGGAGGGGGAGAAGTGCCAAGGTGAGGCGGACGGGCCCACCTCGAGCGGGCGGGGGAAAACAGAAAATGATGGCAATTGGCGCCTTAAGGTCTTGAAGGGCTGAGTTGTGGAGGTACGTTGGCACCCCTCCCTACTGCTGTCTTCGTTGGGGGCCGTAGGGAGAGCCTCGGCCCCTCCAGTGACAACTGACGCCGTGATGTATTGGTGCATTAGTGGAAGAGGGCGGCTCAAGAGGCCCCGATGATGGCAGCCGCAAGGGGTGTGAGGCCTATGATGGTCCTCACGGATGAGGTCTATGATGGTCCTCACCAGGGTGGGATGGCGGATTTGGATGTCCGAGAAACAAATATGCTCGAGGGACCAGGTGGTCCTAGGGCGGGAGTTCCTGAAAAGGAGGGATGACATACAAAACCGGCATACCCAGCTTCGGCACCGAACTTTAGTAGGCATGATGCGGGCCGCTGCCAATTCGTAGAGCCGGAGACGCATTCGGACAGCTCAAAAGGACTGTCCTGTTTCGGAAGGGGCCCGATCAAAGAGCGCTTGGAGCAGGGCTGACCTAGTCCGAGGGCAGCACGACGTCTGTGCCGCCGTCTTTGCTCGGCTTGCTCCCCTTCTTCTGAGCAAGGGGAAGGCTAGAAAACAACTCACGGACGCTGTTTGTCGCCCTCGTGGCCTGGTAGCGCGTCCAATCGCGAACACAATGGACATGGTGCATGTCCCTCACGTGGCGCTGTTGGGCGCTCTCGGTAGCTAACAGGCGCTACTTGAGCGGCACTGGGCGCCATTAGCCGATGCACACTCAACCCAAGACAAACAGAAACTGAGCGCAACGCACAACGTGCAACCGCTGGAACCCACTATCGATCCACCCCACTGGTATCCGTGGCACCAGAAATAACGCATGAATTCCCAGGGGGGGCGCCGAACGAGATCTTTAGCACTCCCAATGATTAATTAAATTCCATTCCGCCAGAAACCTGAGGAAACCATGGGAACTCGGAGGTACCAACAGGAATCCTCCAGGAGTCCTTGAAGAATCTGGAAGAATCCTCTGTACCCCCCACGGATCCGCCAGGAGTCGGCGGCACACCTGCAGGAAGCCTGAGGAATCTTCAGCAACCGGCAGGAATCCTTGGGAGCCCGCAGGAATCCTCACAACCCTGGGACAATCTGAACATATCGCACTTCCATCCCTGCTCGAACCTCCATCCTCGATCCTGAGACGTTCGCAGACTCTTTGCACCTAGGGGAGGATGGGCTGTACTGAAATTGCCAGGCTGACTCACCTAGCTGAACTCCTGGCTCGGGCTCACTGGAAACTCCTCTAGGTGAGGGGCCTCAGTGGCCTCAGACAGTCCGCCACGTTCATCCAGTTGCCATTTCAGCCAGCTGCTCGTTGCCTATTTGGTTTTGCCGGCGGAGATCTTCAGGAATCCTCACTGATCTCGATGGGAACGGCGGGAATCCTTCAGGAATCCGCAGGAATCCTCTGAAATCCTTCAGGAATCTTCCAGCAAATCATGGAATCAGGTGCCCACAGATTCCTCACGGATTCCTCAGGAAACCGAGAGATCCCTCAAGAATCATTCCAGAATCCTTCAAGAGTCACTTGGGAAATGTTCAAGAATCTTTCACGAATCCTCTATTCTCTTCAAACATCTTCAGGAATATTTACGGGATCCTCACGGGATCTTTCAGGTATCCACGATCCCAAGGAATCTTCAGGCATACTGAATAAACCGCTGGAGCCCCAGGAATCAACCTTTTTGGAATCCGCAGGAATTTTCAGGACTCACCAGGAGCCCTCAGGAATCCTTCGGACATCTCTCCGGGAATCCTTGCGTATCCCACGGGAAACCGGCAGACAAAAATCCCCGGGAAACCTCGGGAACCCCTTGGGAACCTCCACGAGCCTTCAGGCCTCCCCCCCTTCTTGAGGAACCCGCAGGGACCCCTTTCTGAGCCCTCCGGGACGGCTTATACACCTTCATGTCCCTCCTCAGGAACCCTCATTGAGACGAGGGAGCCATCAGGAGGAGGAGGAGGAGGAGGAGGAGGAGGAGGAGGAGGAGGAGGAGGCGGAGAAGGAAGAGGATAAGCAGGAGGAGGAGGAGGAAGAGGAGGAGGAGGAGGAGGAGGAGGAGGAGGAGGAGGAGGAGGAGGAGGACACTTTTAGGAGCCATCAGGAAACCTCATTGAGACGAGACGCACATCCAGGGCCCCGCGATCTCGCCGTGGGGGGGGGCTGCCAGGCTCGCCTTTTGCACGGCCAGTCAGGCGCGGGTGGGCCAGAGCGGTTCCGCGCGCGCTCAGCGGCGCGTAGGAGAGGAAGGCAGACGAGGGGGACGATGACGGCTGACGAGTTAGGACGACCGAAACGATCGAAGGCATAATTCCTCACCCTCCCATGTCTTCCCCGTCGGGGAGGTCGCGGGGGGGACAATTCGTTACGGCCCGCTCCCTTCTCGCACTCTCGGATCCCAGCACTGAAATCCGCTGATCGCGCTGGGCTCCGATAAACATGATTGGCCCCTTCCGCGCTGCATTCGGAGGAGGGCAACGTGAGACAACGGCCGTGAGACAACGGTGGCCAAATCGGCTCAAAATCGGTCCCTGGACCCCTCCCGGGGTCCAAACGCACCGATTTTTCACGCTGCGTCCAGCCGTGGCGACGAGGAGGCCCCTCGGAGGCGAACAAGGCAAAAACGTCACCCTTGTCTCACCCTGCCCTCCTCTGATGCATGTCGCGTTCTTTGCGGAGCGCCATCGCCTCACAACGAGGGGGGCGTCCGGCGCCGGGCTGGGCGAGGGATGCCGTCACTCTGTCGAGCGACGGAGGACGGGGACCGTGCGGAAGGCACGCAGAGCCCAGAGGGGCCGCGTCGGGAGGCCAGGGAGGAGCGAAGGGCTTGTCTCGACTCCAGCCAGCCTCCTCCTCCTCCTCCTC